TATTCCTCTCCCATCTTTCTCCTCTTCACTTTGACACATTTCTACATCACTTCTCACAGTTGGTGAAGAAAGTGATCGTACACAAAAGAAAATTTGATAAAAACATATACATCATGACCGGAATGTTAGACAAATATAAGGACAACAGAATTAAGACTACGGTAAACCTACTTTTTAATCTCTCACATTACTTAAGCTCAAAATATTACAAACCCCATTATATAAACAATACGTCCGATTTTGAACGCACAAAAAGTCATCATAAGTCATTGTAATCATCGTACATATGTTGTACAAAAATATTACGTCATTTAGGCCATGAAGGGTTTTCATTTGCTTTGATTATTACTTCCAGACTTCGCGGCATGGATTTCATCAACTCTGTGGTGACCGACCAGGTTAAATTAAACTTCATTCAGTTTAAGATCTTGCTTATTAGTCACATTGAATTTTTTATTTTTCATTCCAAGAAAAGATTACATATGATCTACAGGGTTAATGCCAACGTATTAAGAACGTGAACGTATTTGTTTCTTTGTGTTGTAGAGCAGCCACAATCCAGTATTAAAAGCTTAAGTATCGGATCACTGACGCGTTGAAGCACGTTATTTCCAAAGCCCCTTTACAAGAATATTAACGAGGGTATTTTCCATAAAAATGTGAACGCGTATCTGGTGCCTCATCACATCATCGATTACATGCAGATGACTCATTCTTGGGGCGATTGTTCACCCTCAGACAACCACGGAATCGCCAACATGTAGATTATGTTGAGGATCCAATTATGCTTGAAGGTTACGACATTCCATGCGCCTCCCATCGGTACTGAAAAGTATGTTTTGAATGGAAATGTGACTGAATTTCAAAGTCCGATCTTTTATATTGGAATTGTTTTGCAAGATTTAATTGCATTATGCAATTTGATTTACCCCCTTGAACATTTTCGGTGTATGAGGTAATTTCGGGTAATTTGGGGCCATTATTAATTTTTCTAATAATAATAATAATAATATACGAATATAATAATAATAATTCGTTTAACTGCTTTAGTGAATAATTTCGGTCTCTCTATTCCAGGACGTTTTTTTCTTCACTATTTTAAGACTTTAAATCTCTCGATTATTAGTTGCACTGTTGAAAGAAATGTATTCATAAGACCAGATATATTTTGTCAAGACAGCTGTAGATTGGCAGTTATTGTGCAATTTTGTATTTATTTTTCTTGTTGCGTAACTAGTTTCTGGGCGGATGCTTTCCATTTTCGCTTCCCACGATGTTATAGCAACGTTTTACTGAGCACTGACCAAGCTTTGCTCCTTATCAGTGGTATACCAAGTTTCATGGACCATAGAATGTTGGCAAATCTACTATTATCTACTTTATTTGGCTTTGTTGTTTTGCTTGTACTATCACTTTTTGTGCCTAGTATACTCGCCTCCTGTCGTATGTTGTTTTATTTTCAGATATTACATTTGTATTCTGTTTTCTTTAAACAATAATCTGAAGTGTAATATTGAATTGTATTGTACGTTTCACTGATTTATTACACACCGTTTTGTAGTAACAGACATTTAGTAGTTTTATAGTAACAGACCTCTCTTCAAAATATTATTCATCCAATACCCATTTCACTTTATCATTTCTCTTTGCATTTATTTTTTCTTATTCCGTTTTGGAATCTCATTTCTTTCCATCATTCGCAACACTTACCTGTTTCAAATGCTTCCAGCTTTCTTCTATCCCTTTTCCGAATAGTCATAGTGTTATTCCTACAGAAAATGTTTTTAAATATCCTATTGTTCGAGCAAATTTCAATTCTCAAGCACAATTTTCCTTTTTCGCAAAAACCACTTTTACCTTTACTTTTCTTTTTATTTTATTCTCACCGTTCTATCCCTTTCCAGCTACGCTCCCTTCATGTTCCTATTCGTCATATTGTTCTATCCTTATTCCATTTACCCTTTAATCCATCGTCTCTTCTCAAAAGCATCACATTTGCTTTTCCATCATTTATTATCCTATCCTAAAGTATTTCAGTAATAGAGATGTTTTGCGATTCTCAAACGCATAAATTATGTTTCTGAAGGAAGAGAACTTGACGGGCACGTGACGAATTCCATTTTGGTTTTAAAAATATGATGAACTTGTGGAAAAAACCTTCCTTACACCGTTCCTAATGCCGCAACGAAAACATTCCTTGCACCGTAATCTATTGGATGTGATCTTTTCGACATTCTATTACAGTTTTACTGGTCCGGCGCTTCTCGATACCACTAGACCCCACCTGTTTAGAGACGAACAGAGTCTACAGCTACTCAAATTAAATGAAACAAATTACTTGATATTCTATGCGATTAAATGGCACGGGTGTATACCTCTCTGGTTTGGTAATAAAGTTAAATAATATTGCAAAGAGTAGGGTTGTACTTTCCAGAGCCTGTATTTTCGCGTGGACAACTTTACGTAACTTTCTCAAGAGTAAAAAAGCTTTTCTAATATTTTTGTGTCAATCACGGAAAACGAAAAACTGTCAAGAAAGCTGTGTTGTTTTTCAAGACGTTTTATGAGTTGGTCCAAGAACGTCTGTCTGTAATACTGAATAAACATTTATTGAAAATTTCTTTTAAACATTAATTGCATTGTTTTTATTTTTATTTGATATTCTGTAAGTACATTAGAAGTTACCTTCATACTTTTTTAAAATAATAATAATAATAATAATAATAATAATAATAATGCCTTTATTAATGGCGAAACACATTTTCGTTAACAACTTTTCCTCTCAATATGGAAATGGAAGGGTAGGGTAGAGCGTGAGGTTTAACATGCGGGAGTACTCGCACAGGTACGCTAGTCATTCTATATTTCAGGTGTCTGAGAAGAAACTGGCGGTCTGTTCTGTAGTCTCAACCGCAGTGACGTTAAGCACGTTACCCAGTGCTATAATAATTTCTAGACAGTAAATATTACGATTCGTATTAACGCATAGAAACGAAATGTACCACACGTGCCATATAGAAGGGTGGCTTTGTAGTTCATAGCAACTTTTTATCTTTCCGATATGTAGCAGAAAATGAAATAGCATGGCATAGAGAGTTATTTTCAATTCTTCCATCAATTTGGGTCTGGATGCACATGCTAACAAGAGTGGAATAACATAGATATATACAATTATATTTTTGTTCGGTAGAAATCCAATACAACAGAGCATTAGAGTACCCGGCTAACAACAGTCATAATTATTATCTCTCAGGAGGACTTTGCAAACTTTGAGAAATAATCTGAATACCACTGGGTGAGTTTGATCAGTTAATGTGTTCTACATACCACCATTTGTCCGGTAATAGGTTCTCTTTGTAATACGCTTCTCTCGCCCTCGGTGGCGAAATTGTGACTGTATTGATTCATTATTCTAAGAGACTGCCATGAAAACAAATAATGGGCGATTGTATTATTCGGAATAGAAATGGAAATATTCACATTTCTTCAAAACAAATAATAGCGAACTTCAAAAAAAATACCTGAACCCTTGCGACTACATCGCAAATAGAATGGAAGAACTGTAAAAAAATTACGAAAGAAAATTCATGCTTGCACATTCGGAAAATAGAATAGAAATCAGAAAACATTGTTGTCTGTCAACAAGTCGTCTAGCACTTATTCTCTACGTTTAATTAAATGAGGGAGGTTTAAAAATTTTGGAGCAATAGAGTCACTATTCACTGTTAGTACAGATTTAAACATGCTTCTAAATAAGTAATTGGAATATTTTATATGTGCAAAATAGTATCTGGACATATAGTATGTTCTAATGGACTATAGAAGAAATCGTAATATCCACCTTAATTTAAAAAAAGGAATGCAGAACTTGTACTTATAATCTCAGATTTTTTTGTAAAGATCACGTGTTTCAAACTAATACTGAAGAATGAATTTATTTTCAAGCGTTTGATGAGCAAAACATTTTATCAAACGTGTCATTAATTCTCTATTATTTCGATTTTGTGTCCACACAACTGATTGTATTTTTGTCTAGACAACACCAGAAGGTTTTTTAAATATTTCACTTTTAACCCCTTCATTCTTTGAGTGCAATATTAATCTAAGGTTTAACAGTCACTGACTCTGTGAATTTATTTCCTTGCAATTGACAATTGTGGTCTAATTAACTTTGGTAGACCCAGTTATTAGTCGTAAAAAATACATTCGTTTTATTTTCGTATTGCTAATTTTACGATTACAATAATGTAGCTTGAGAGGATGAATGCTTCTAGAGAACAAAGACTTGCCTTCTTTTTCTGATGATTTCGTTTGTGGGAATTTTTATTATATCACTCTCTTATTCTCGGAAACATCGAAAATTGCAACGAAATCTGCGATTTCAAGGCGGCTCCCGCGGAGACGAAGGGGTGGAGGGTGAGGGGACGAAATAGTCCTTGCGATGCCCCGGGCATTTTCAGGGCCACGATGCCTCGAATCCAGCTCTTTGGGGAGACGTCACTTATTAGAACCCCTTCACACGGAGCCACTCGGCAGCGCTTCCGAGTCACCGACGCGCTCTTGATGGCGAAATATTGGTTTAAATAGAGGTATTCTCGCGAGCTGCTGTGAGGTCAGTGGCGTATACTCGTCACTAGAAGCGCAATGCGGTTCCGTGCCATTGCCAACAAAATCGGCTGTAAATGGCAGCCTTCCCACTGAGCCACTAGGAAGGGCCATGACTTTAAGTTGTCTTCCATAAAGCAATAGGCGCCCACAACGGGGACCCACGAATCTGTTTTCAACTCACAGTGGCGATGATCGGCAGCTATGTGTGAAGGCGCTTCATAGTGGTGCTGCCCAGTGGCTTTACACTTCTTCGGAAACAGCATTTGGTTAGTGGCCTGGCGTGGCGCTGCCGAGTGGCTCCGCGTGAAGGCGGCTTTAGAGCGTAAACAACCCATAATTTTCACCCCTTTTGGAACCCGCATCTGATTTCCGGCCTGGCGTGTGGTGCGCAGATATGTACGTGAATGACCTGCAGAGCGGCTTGTGCGACGGCGCCGTGACGCCACGCGTGCTGCGCGAGACCCCGGCCACCGCCTGGGTGGACGGCTGCAACGGCCTGGGGCCCGTCGTCGGCACCTTCTGCATGGAGCTGGCCATCCGCAAGGCGCGCGAGACGGGCGTCGGATGGGTCGCCGCCAAGGGTAATGCATACACGCGCCGCGCGCCAACGTACACGCACTCGCAAAAGCTCATCCGCACTCATAGGCGCTCACACGAATGCGCTCATACAGCACAGGATCTCACATACGCGCACTGCCATGCACTTACATCCACGCACACACATGCACGGTCACGCTCAAACAGGAGGAATCACACATCAACGCAGTAAGGATGGAGGGAGCGGGGACTCTGTCCCGCACCAAAGACCCAGTGACAACATCGACCCCTCTGCCGCAGCCCAGGGTTCTAGTCTCGATGGCTGTAGTCCATTTTCGTCTTTGGCTATGAAAATAGGTCGAATTCAGCCACTGCTTACAGGAGAATATTCAGCGACCTGGAGCTCTGATCGATCGTTTTCCGTACTTTCGCCGAATGCTGGTGTAGTATCTAAGAAACTGGTAACGGACCACTCGCAATCATTCCTTCTTCATTTTGGTCTTCATGATCACCGCACACACACACACACACGCACACACACACACACACACACAGACACACATTTACATGCACTAAACACCCACAAATGCTGGGAGACCAGTCGAGAGCTTAGTGCTTTTTCCCGGCAGGGGGGATGCTCTGCTGGGGGAGATATCCGGGAGGGAATCCCGCACGCGGACGTTTAGGTCTGCGCTGCGCCGCGCCGGATCTCACATTCTGCCACACCCAAGGATGTGTAGTTCATTTAGGGGAATAATGACTTCAGAAGTTTACGAGCCCGAAATACTCTCTCCTGAAGGACTCGCATAAGTGTGCTTCTTATGCAATAATATTAAAAGGTTGGAATAACCATAAAATAATTATAAATAAAATAAGAAGTGTTAACATTCATTTGATAGTCAATTAACAGCAAGTAGGTGTATGTGTAATTGGTGGTAGGCAATTGGGGGCAGGAGTAAAAGGGTAGTAGTGGAGGAAACTATATTTGTTGAAAAAAGTGGTAAGTGAGCTACGGTCAGAGAGCAATGGGTGTGCTAAGTAACCAAGTACACATTGACTTTATAATTGCCACTGATCAACAGCAATTAACGAGTCATTGTTGAACGTGATGAGGGAGACTAGTCGTGGCTCTTATACTGAAGTCTCCGTCTTGCGTCGGTAACATCAATCCCAAAGCTTTCAAGAAGAAATTGAAGTCAAAGAGGTTAACCACGTATGGAATGTAAATACATCTGTTGGTCAAATCATTAAAGGTACTCTTTTATGTGTTTTATGTAGTAAAGGTATGGTTTTCGTAATTTGAAAAGGAATATTTGTCTCCTCCGGGTTTTCAGCACAGCTGGTATCACCAGGTTCTTCAACTAATAAAACTTACTCCATAATAATTCTACTGACAAATGAATTTTCCGTACGAATACAAGGTTTCCCGGGAAAGAAAGGGGAGCTGGTGGAAAGGAAAAGGAAATAAGGGAGAATAAATCAATGTGAAAGTTATTTTCAAGAGAGGTGAACGAGCTGGGATACGTTAATTTAAAATTGAAAGATTTTAATTAAAAAATGATTTTTTTTTGTGAATGAGTTATACAGTAAGTATTGGAATTTTGTTTCTTCTTCTGTTGCGCTAAGGCCCTGTCAGTCTTGGCGTTTCTCTTTTTTTATAGCTCATTGGTGTCTATCCATTGCTCTTCCTCTTCAATCTTTCACACCTACAGCTTTCAAGTCCACTGCCACATCTTTCATCCATCTCAACCGTGATCTTCCTCTCTTTCTCATCCATTCTAGTTCATCAGAGAAGACTTTGGTTTTCTCTCATTCCCCATTCGTAATAGGTATACCAGCCACTGTATCCTTCTGAATTTAATTTTAACCATATATATCATTTTTGTAATTGTTTTTTACATTAATAAGAAACAAAGTTAACACGAAAAAAGTTTCTTCCTCCCAAACACACATGATCCAACCTCACCAAAACTGTCATTTTTTGAATTGTTTTTCTTAAATGTTGCCAACAGGCTTTATATTACCATTACCACAAACATTCCACGAGCCCAATTAAGATTCACATTTAGATTTAATATTAATTCTTCAATTAAGTGTGACAACTTGATGACATAATGTTAACTTTAAATTGACGAAGGGTAAAATACTTCACAAAAATGATGTGTAAATTCATCTCGCACGTTTTAGCAGTATTCCACTTCACATCACCGGACATAAATTTAAAAAAAATGCAATATAATTTATATAAGTAATAATATATGATAAGCCAGTAATAACAAAAATAATAATAAATAAAATTAATAATAGCAATAAACGTAATAATTTTTTGAAACATAACTCAACAAACCTTTTGTTATAGGAAGCAATCATTTTGGCATTGCTGCATGGTACAGCATGATGGCCTTGAAGGAAAACATGATCGTAAGTTGAAATTCCAATGAGGAACGTTATTTTTGAGTTTATATCGACTCGTGAATTCTGTGGAATGTAACGTCATAGAAAATATATATTTTACAGTATTTGTTAAATCGTTTAGTCGAGGTTCACACATATCAAAGAACATGCTCGTTCACGTAAAATTTCTCTACGTTGTTAATAACAGACACGTTTTTAGAAAAATGAAATAACTTGAAAATTCATTATAAACACAAAGGATAATACAGACAACTAACATTTTAAATTATTTTCACAGGGTATGTCGTTCACCAACACTTCACCATTTCTAAGCCCGACACGGTCAAAACAGGTACGTTTTCTTCAAATTGTCACAGCTGTATTTGCTACGATTGATGTACTCTTGATTCTTTAGTATAATAGAAAATTGCATCTTAATACACTGGATTAATGCCCTAAACATGCTTGGTGACAATGACTTGGTGAAAAATCGAACGTGATGTTAAATGTTGTTAAAAAGAAAGAAAGGAAATGAGGTCAATAGAAGTCAAACGAATATTATGTGAAAATATAAGTTAATGAATTGCTATTTTAAAATGTTTTCATGTAATTCGTAAATGCCCAAAACAATGCATTTTTTGAAACAAATTAATTATACAAAATTTTTCAACGTGATTCGTAATTTATTTCAAAGAATATAATTATATTTAAAGTATCATTTTTATCTCTTCCCCCGTAATTTGTCAATATTTTCTTTCTCAGTTATTTCATTTGTTTAGCGTCTGTATTTTTCTTTCGTTATTTCTTTTGTCTCTCTTCTTCTATTTACTCTTTTCTTTTTTTCGTATTTATTTTTACTTCCTCCAACGTGCAGTAAGATGGCCTTAGCATTGGATTGTAAGAGTGCGTCCGACCGTTCGGTTTCGGTCATAGCGCAGCCGTAATATCAGTCGATCGCTTCCAGACAACTGCGAGCGAAATCGTCCGATTCATTTCATCCGAAATGCATACGAAATTTTCCGAATATTTGCATAGTTCCGCATTTCTTTGAAATATTTGAGAGGCACACTCAAGACAATCTACATTTATTTGAGGTTGCCGTGGGATTAAAGATGGCTTTGACTCTCCAACCGATTTCGGGTGAATGGAACCGACAAAATCAAACGAAACAGATCTTCGCCCTTCCGGACGCCGCTCGGAAGAGTCGTTCCGTTTTAATATTCCCATTTCTATTCACTAGCACGTGTTTGAACGAATCGGGCATATGGGACGCAAACGTCCGGCGGCAGGCGTCCGAAAAGCGTACAAGAGTTCCTAGAACCGAAAATACTGTAATCACTTTGTTTACTTCTATTGCTGTAATGCACTGCCTATTAAATTATAGGCGGCACTTTGATTCATGAGAATTTAACTAATAATAATTTATATTACTGTGAGAAATATGGATTTTTGTGAACATTACTGATTATTCTTGGTTCATTACTTGTGATTTTTGTTAGCATTACTGTTTTTTCTCGGACATTGTTTTTTTACCCCTCATTATTTTTTCTGTTTGCTAGTAGACGCACGTTTCCATTTTTCGTTATTTCTTTTATAATTCCTTCACTGATGGATATGAAACTTTACATACTAATTAAAAAAAGAATTGTTCGGATGTGGCTAGACAATTCACTTTTCTTTCTCTCTCTTTTTATTTTGTTTCTTTTCTCCCTCGTCATTTTCACTCTTGTATCTTCCCTCCTTAATCTGCTGTTTGTTTTTATTCCTCTTTCGTCCTGCTGGCGTGCGGCAGGCGGCGCTGGGCACCAACCCGCTGTCGCTGGCGGCGCCGGCGGAGGGCGGCGACTCGTACGTGCTGGACATGGCCACGACGGCCGTTGCGGTGGGCAAGGTGAGTGCGCGGGCGGCCCCGAGTCAAAAGGACCCACAGGCGACAAATTCCACTCAAGGAGTTTTGAAGTAAGTAAAGAGTGTGGCCGCGACGTCTTGCATACAATGCGGCTTCGCCGCGTGGTGGCTTTGCGGCTTCGGCGGTGTATCGGACTGTTCTACACGAGTTCGCTGGTTCAAATTTGGTCGAAGCCGAAGTTGCCCCATGTTGTGATCCCATGGTTGGCACTCTTTTCTCTGCCATAGCATGTAGATTTACCGCTTCTAAAAGATCCTAAAGCCTGTGCGAAGCCATTGACCTAAATTGTAATCGCCTGTTTCGTCGTCCGAGTGATACCTTTCATTAGGTGCTAGATATCGTAGGAGCGTAATGAAATCTAGTTAGGTTATGAGGAAAATGGTTAGACGGAACAACAGGTCTGATGGCATGAGCATCAACAAGTAAAATTATTGAATTGAGTTGAATTTAAAATATGTTGTCATGGAACGGGGAACAAGAAAGGGAGTTGTTTATGGAAGAAAAGGGAGAGCCGTACAATTGACTCCGGTTATAACGAACTTTTGGGGACTAACATTTTTGGGTCATTATATAAGAAATTAATTGTATCTGATAACCCTAAATACAACAGTTTTGCTTTCTTCATACTTTATTCTACATTGACCACAGACTAAATATTTTAGAGAAGTATTAACATTCGATGTCTCCAAAACAGCTGAAGCACTTTGTATTTGTTTCGAGTTGTATTTACTATGTTCCCTGTAACTTTTATTGAGAGTTAGTTCCAACCAAATCTTCTCGTAAAGTAGGTGGATGAGGAACAGAGTCTTCACTTCACTATGACTGAATGTTCACAATATCTGAGGCCCTATTATCAGTCCCGACTACAAACATTGAAAATAATGCAATGTGCAACATACATTAAATGAACATCATGCATATGCGTATTTTAGGGAATATTATTATTATTATTATTATTATTATTATTATTATTATTATTATTATTATTATTATATGGTTGCGGCAGCCGTCGTGTATGGCGCCGAGGGGGCGGCAGGGGTAGATATTTTCGTATTTGTGATTGTTCCTTCAGCGTTCATCATCATCCTATCATTTCACACTTCAAAGCGTAACAACCTTGTCGTGCTGAAGGATACAGCTGAAAAGCTGATCCTGGAAAAATTACACGCGTTATTCGTGTAGTATGTTCAGTATTGGCCTATGTCAATAGTAATAATAATAATAATAATAATAATAATAATAATAATAATAATAATAATAATGGTATAATAATTATTATTATTGTTAATAACTAGTGTTACAGAATGTCACAGACTTTATCGTATTGGTTTTATATTTTCTTTGGTCAGGGCTAGCTACTCGGTCTTGCCACATACTTTTGTCAGCTTCCATCTACCACCGCCCTAAATTCATTTTCTGACATTTTTCTTAATTTTTCCGTTTGGCTATATAATATAGGCTATATAATAATAACATGGTTTGGCGCGGCTCGCAGATCGAGGTGCAGCGGCGGCGCGGGGAGCCCATCCCCGCGGGGTGGGCGCAGGACGCGAGCGGCGCCGCCACCACCGACCCGCACGAGGCCATGAACGTGGGCTGCCTCATGCCGCTGGGCGGCGCCGAGAGCACCTCGGGCTACAAGGGCTACGGGCTGGCGCTCATGGTCGAGCTCCTGTGCGGCGTGCTCGCAGGTAAGAGCGGTCGGCTACTGTTAAGCATATTTGGAGATTCATTCATTGGCCCGTTCCCCAAAGTGGATGAAATTGCTAGTTGGTTCCCAGGAGGTTCCAACAGCGGTAAGGAATTTTGACCCTCATTTTAGCTCCTTCTTCTTTGGTCCTATCTTCCATGTACGGAAGTTAGGTGACCCATAACGGGTTTTCTTGGGATATATTATTCCCCGTTGCCTTCCCTGATATGATGATGATGATGATGATGATGATAGGGGGTGAAAGGACGAACACAATACAACCATGCCCGAGGCGGGACTCGAACCCTCGTTTTCCGTACGAGATCGCTGCGGCACTACTGCCTTAGCGATCTCGGCCACCGCATCGGCTTTAGCTCCTAGGAAGCACCATAACAGCGGACTCGATAATATTTTATCGGCATTTTGGGCGTTTTCCGGCTAAGCGAATAGGGGTTCTGGATAAGGACAATAATTAATTATATATTTAAGGTACATGTTTCCATTTATAGTTGTGGCACAAATGTCTCAATCTCATCTATTCTAAACAGTTACCAATAAAATACTACGGCTTTAGCTCTCATAGATCATGATGATGATGATGATGCTGAGAAGGAGTGGGAGTAGGTGTTCCTTGCTGCATTCCGAGCGTTGGGGAGTAAAGTTTATGTTTAATGACATTGCCCTTTCCTGGACGGTGATCGCAGAGCTGACTGCCATGCCTTCCTCTGCATGGAGGACGCGTGGAGCAAGCGCCTGAATGGCGGGTGCGGGGCGGGTGCGGGGCGGGTGC